TTGGAAAGAGAAGAAATGAGCACTGAACCACTGATATATCACAAGAGAACTCTTTATTTACTGTGTTTGCTATTGTTTAAGATAAAACCTATTTGGGAAAGAACCTACTTCTGCCATTTTTATGGATGCTTATTGCTTGTTTACAGATAGTTGCCTTGTGTCAATATTATCTCGTGTCGATTGCAGTATTCATTGTATCACCACCCTGTTCGTTGTTTTCTTGCCTGGTAACCAGCCATGTTCAACAGAGGGTAGCTCAGTAGGCACTGCCACACCAACCTGGGTCTGCCCTCAGCCACCCCCCAGCTGCCTACCTTACTTACAAGAAGACAATGCCAGCCAACCACCTCTGCTTTGGTCTCAGTTTTGCTCCGGCAACACAGCAGAAAGGAGGGCGGGGGCCAAACTAGCATTAGTTGGTTGTGACATTAACATATGAGAGTGCTGGAGGTGAAATAGTTAAACAGGTTACCCAATCGGAACCCGGAGGGGTGGAGTCAGAGGGACTATAAACCAGCTCTGGGAGGGGTGGAGGGGAGAGTTTGTTGGGAGTTGGGTGGTTGGTTGGAGTGGGAGTGAATTGGGATAGAGTCTGTGGGTAGGTTTGAGTTAGTGTAGCGAAATAAGCTGAGTCAGGAACAGTTAGGGGCTAGGAAGACAAGCAAATATCAGAGAGGTGGTTTAGTGAGTGAGAGCAGGTAGCGGAAGTTATAGGTCTGGATAGGCACCCCATGCATGTAATTGACCAATACTGTTTATGAAACCACACGCTTGTTTAAACTGCAATAAATAAACAGAGGTTTATGTTCCAATTTAAACCTGACTGGACTCAGTATTGTACTAGGTAGGGCCTGGGTGATGGCAGCGAGAAATAAAGTGGTGGCACAGGGATCAATGGACGGTGAAACGTTTGGGGACCCTGTGTGATCACCACAGTTGGTTCCCCTATCTTTCGTTCTAAATCTGCCTACCATTGTCCAGCCACCCTACCAGTTGGAATGGGCTCCAGCCGCCACTGGCCACACACCCTCCAGTTCCAAATCCAACACCAGGTCCATGGCCCTGCTGACTAAATCAGCGCAAGCTCGCAGGCCTGATAACAGTGAGCATCCCACCTCAACTCACATGGGCAGCTTTGCCTCGCTCTAGGACGATGTGGAAACTTGAGTGGCTGGTGAGGAGCCAGATTTCTACTCGGTAAACAAAGGATACGCTGGGTTTCCAGAAATGCCTGTTGGCAGCCATAACCCGGAAGGAGAAATCCCAGGAAGAGTTGCAAGTGTAAGAGACCTCGTAGTCACAGCTGCCCTGGAAGTGCACCACTGCACCATCAAAGGTGAAGTAGTGAGGGTCTCCCGTCACAACGCAGGTGGTCAGGAAACTCCGGCAGCCCCACTGTCCGTCCCTCAGGGCGCACTGCTGGCCCCGGTTGCATTTAGCTGTGAAACAACGGAAATTGCCCTGGGGGTCACAGATGCATTTTTTAGCACAGCCGGGCAGCCAGATATGGCCTCTAACCTGCATGAGGAAGACAAAGGGAAATGGCCATCATATAGTATAACTCCTTCAATGTACCCACAGCTGGCCCAAGACATTTTCCTGCCTTAGGCAAAGGTGGCAGGGTAATAACTTGGGTAATATTAGGAAGTGGCCTTAAAGCAGAAGAGACTTATTTAGCAGCCCTCTACAATCTCAGGCCCAGGTGTTGCTCACAACCTGCTGCCTGGTCCCTTCCATACGGAAAGCAAGGGCTCCACTCCTGATCTATAACCCCTCCCAAATTACGCACTATTCAGGAAACTTTTATTGTTTTATGTTTTGCCATGTTCCTTTATATTTTGTTGGAAGTGGCTGCCCAGAATGGCTGGGGCAAACCAGTCAGATGGGTGGAGTACAACAGACAAACAAACATTATGTTATAAGAATTTCAAGGTCTCAAATGTAGAATAAATGTTCATAAATGCACACATATCTAAATATATGAACCATGTGTCTGAAATAGTATGGGAGAGCAATCCTGGAGCCATTTTGACTCTCCCAATGACTTCAAATATTCCTCTGCAGTAAGGGAGGCAAATGGGGAAAGCCGTCCCATTGTCTTTTCGCTTGCAAATCCCCTCTTAAGGACATATTTGTGTATGAATTTGAGCCTGTGGCCTGGATTCAGGAACTAAAGTATTAACCATCACAAAAGAATGGCCAGGCTGTCCAGGTAATGCAACCAGTGACCATTGTTAGGTATCCTGGCAGAAAGGATTTCTGCTGTAGACCGCCTCCTTCTGTGAGGTATGTATGATGTTTTGGGAAGGTGGTCTTGGGCTACAGGATGGGTAATTTCAAAAGTCTATATAAGGGTTTGCACACCATTGTTCAGGGTTCTCCTCCCTCCTGTGTGTGGTGAGTGGGGACCCTGTTGAAAGATCAGGCTTGCTAGCCACTTTGCTTCTCAATATACTCTGGTTGGCCTCTGTTATTTTCTCTTACTGACAGGGAACCCACTTAAGGGTTATTTATTATTATTATTATTATTATTATTATTATTATTATTATTATAACATTGGCTTTGACTGGACTGGACAACCAGCTCACTTTGTAGTGGCGCCCATCATGCTTGCAGCCACACTGCTCAGGCAAGACGCACTCATTGCCATTCCAATAGTAACCGTCGTCACAGAAGCACCCTTCGGAGCAAGCAGAGGCAGAGACGTTCTGGAGCCAGGTCCCGAAGCACAACTGATGCAAAGAACTGCCACAGAGCTTGTAGTGACTGTGTTGTGGGCACTGGAGATCTAGGGGTGGGGAAGAAGAAAGTGCTTTTTCTGAAAATAATTTTCTGGCAGGTTTTGGATTTTTCTTTTCTTTTTTGACCTCCTCCTGAACCATTACGGAGGATTTCAGTCCTCCCCTACAGAGTGCTTGGCAAAATGGTTTCTGCACTCCTGGCGTTAATGTTGGTTGCAGCTGTGGATCAACTAACATAGCAGAATGGTTGCAGGTAGGCAGCCGTGTTGGTCTGCCATAGTCGAAACAAAATAAAAAAATTCCTTCCAGTAGCACCTTAGAGACCAACTAAGTTTGTTATTGGTATGAGCTTTAGCAGAATGGTGTGTGGATAAGCCCACTGTTAATGCACTATTTGTGCATCGGTAACGTTTTTCAACACAACAGCAACAACCACCACCAGACTGGAGCAGCCCAGAGTTTCATTCAACATTAAATAAACCAAATTTTAACAAAAGACAGTTTTCAGAGATAAGGTGTTGGAGAATTTCAACTCCCTCTCCAAGGATATCAGTCCCCATTACACACCCATTTTGTCACCCACAAAAACCATGGAGAAATTTGGGAGACCATTTTTGCTTAACCCCAAGGTGGTACTCAATTAAGTTTTATTCAGAGCCATTGAAATCAATGTACCTAACTTAGTCGTGTTCATTAATTTCAACGGATCTCCTCTGAGTAAAGTTTACTTCAATAGCATACCGAGTTTGTAAAATTCTGCGATCTCCACCCCACTGAGAAGCAAATGCCTTTTTAAAATTACAGCAGCCTTTTCGGGGGGAGCTATTATTTTTACATAATTTTTTCACCACAAGACAAGGAGGAGAATAAATAAAATAAATTGTGAGGCCGGTGAAACAGAAAGCAATTTTCTTTCTCTCCCTCCTTATGGGCATGTTTTCCCATAAATACAAAAGTTTAATGATAATTATAACCATTTTCTTCTTATGTCCATGTAGTGTAAGTAGGGAAGGGGAAGGAATTCAGCTTGAATTTCAGTGAGAATCTACCTAATTTGCATGTTCTGCTATCTTTCAAATTTTGCACTTTTCTGAATTTGTGATGCAGCTCCCATTTGTGTACAAAAAAGGCCTTCTTTTAATGGAAAGTGTGTGTTAAGATGCACATAGTAGTGAAAATAACATATAAAGTGCACCATATGAGTTGCTTTGCAAAAATGGGTATATCAGGTAAAATACAGTACAAAAATGTGTATATTGGGGGAAAGTGTGCAATTACATTTTTACAGGTTTTCATGAGCATTTTTTAAATTGCAAACCATTGCAAAAATGTGGAGAACTGAACTTAAGACTTGGAAAAATGAGAAACGATGAGAAACCAACACGAAAAGATTTCTCCGCTTCAAGTGTAACACAGCTTCAAGATACGTACTGCAGAAAGTATCATTCCTCCAAGCTAAGATGCTCAGGTTCTCTCTCTGGCAGGCTGCAGCATACTTCTGAATGGACTGGCACAGGACCCTGCTGTCCCCTGGGGAGGCACAGAGGTCAAATATACAATCAGACAGATAGGGCTCAGGGCTAATTTCAGACCGACAAGGAGCAAAGGGCCCAGTAGGGTTCTGGATGATCCAACATCCACATTTTGCCTGGAGGATCTGTTCCTGCTCCAGGCACTGAGGGTAGGGGTCAGCAGAGCCACCGTCACAGCCCGGCACAGTCTCAGATTTCCAACCCGCAGCGAAGTAGGAGACATTCTTCCCCAAGGAGCCATCTTGCATCATAAAGTCATCAGCGGCAGCTCCGTTGAAGTTCCCACAAAGCCCGCAGGTGTGGCCCATGTATTCAGCGGGGATGGTGACAAAAAGGCTGTGGGCTAGGTCAAAGCTCACTGCCAGGCCAAACTTCGCTCTCAGTGTTGTGTACACTCCATGCTGATAAATGACAGCTTCTCCTTGATTAATGTTGGCTGGAAGGTTTGCAGTTATCCCATTAATCTGATTGAAACAAGCAAAAAGTCAGAGACTGGTTAATCTGAAGGGTCATCAAGGAACTGGCACTCTTCTCTTCCGCAACAAGGCTTCTGGGTGGTGAAGTTACTTTGGCCCTTAAGAAACCATTCCTGTTCTCCTTACTTTGGAACAAAGTTCAGGAGCTGAGTGTAGAATTTTCAATGTGCAAATCTGATGCAAATTGGTGCCCCCACTTTTAGTGATTCATTTCATGTGGTGCTTAAGTGGCCAATCTAAGGACAACTCCAAAACAACAATTGTCCTGGAATCTTTACTAATCTGGCCTTGGTAAGGTCAGGTAGCTTACCTGGACATCAAGAGACTCATTGATGTGACTTTGCCTCGACTAGGCTTGGTTCCAGGGTCTCTTGCACTCTCATTGACTAGTTTCCTGTTTCACTGAGGTCTCTCCTTGACTTCTGCATCAGCCTTATACCTGCTTTGCTCTGACTCTGCATCTTAGCTCCTGTTGCGAAATAATCCTTGCCTAACTATGAGCCAACCCGATTGCCCCCTCAGTACATTCTTCCCCAACCTGGGGCCCTCCAGCTTTTTTTGAGTACAGCTCCCATCAGCCCCAGCCAGGATGGCCGATGGCTAGAAATGATAGAATTTGCAGCCCAAGACATCTAGAGGGCACCAGGTTGGGGAAGCCTGCCTTAAATTTTCACATAATAACAGAAATCACTAAGTTAAAGCTGTCCAGAGGTAGCATTATTATCAATTTATGATGGGATAGAAGGGTCACAGGCTATGAATGACTTGCTCACAAATTTATTGACAGCTGCACAAATTATTATAGCTAGGAAGTGGAAGGGGCAAGCAGAATATAAAATGGAAGAATGGTGTGGGATATAGCTATTAATGATAAATTAACATGTGCCATTAAGGTAAGATGGGGAATATGCAGGAGAAATGATTTTGAGGAGATATGGAGAGTGTCTGTAGAATTTGTACTGTAAAAACAGAAAGGGGTCAAACCATCGCAAGAGGTGTTGAAATTTTGGGAGGTTGGATAGTTACAATTGAATGGTCTCAGTGGTGGGGTGCACATTTTTATTCTTATTCATTTGTGATCATTACTTTGTCAAAATAAAATAAAATAAATTCATATGCCCCTGGCTATGTCAGTTCTTCTGGCATTGCCCTGCTCCTTCTTCATCTTTAAAATCCCTCCCCATGCCCCATTTCTCTGAATTTTGTATCTGCATCTCATCTCACTACAAATCCTAGCCCCGACCAGATTCTTCACAAGAGCAGGATGAACCTTACCTCCACAGTATGGTGTACATGTGGGCAATCAGTGCACCACATGTGGCCCTCTTGACATAGCCTCCTGGGTGGTCCCTCTGCTAACACCATCTTTACCCATTTTGGGGGCTGACAAATTTGCTGCTCTGCCACACAGTATGAGCCATGGAACTTCAGCCACTGCAGGTGATGCTGCAAATATGCCACTAAGACTGCTTCCCAGTGGGGCTGACTGCACCCCCCATTGTATTCTTTTCCACCACAGCACAAAGAGTCTTTGTAACTGGAAAAAGGTGGCTGTCACCAATGCAACCCTTGCTTTCAAAGGGGATTCTCTCACCCTGCCAAGGTGGAGGCGGACACTGGTGGAGGAAGAGGAGTGCGGGGGGAGTGCACCGCCCCTGGCAGCGTGATCCCGGTGGGGTGCCATCACAGCTGTCCCCCTGCCCAGGCTGGGCACCACTCCCCCACAGGGATCATGCCACGCCCTCAGGACGCGTGTCACGCCCCTGCGGGTGGCGCGCAACGCCTCCTGGATGTGCACTAGCCCCGCCCCTGCCTGCTCTCCACCCCCACCCCACCCCCGGTGCTGGAGCATGAAGCTCCGCCACTAGGGGAGGGTCTTCTCCCCCCCGCCCCCTACATGGCAGGGAAAGCCTGTACACAGATCCTTAGTGCAGCCCCACCCCTGCCAATGCTGTAGGAGCAAAAAGGCTGCTTGCCCCCACTTAAGGGCTTTCCCCCATGCTCTTTACCTTGACGGTTCCCCGGCGTCTATTCTGCAGGTGTATTTGATGTGTGCCCACTTGCACAAACACCTCTGAGGTCACAGACAAAGATCTGTTGTGCAGCTTCTTGTTCTTAACCTCAACCCTGAAGAAGGGTAAAGATGTGTTTGCCGTGCACAGCTCTGCAAATATGTACTTGCAGCTGTTCCAGAAGTCATAATGCCGGCCATCAAATGTTGTGTAGTGGAGATGCCCTGAAGCCCAACAAGTGCCACCCAACAGCTTGTGGCACCCATAAACGCCTTTGCGAATGCCACAGAACTCTCCAGGACCACAGGATGAGAGGGTGCACGTGACGGCATGGGTGGTGCTATCGCAGCGGCAAAAGCCACTGCAGTTTTCTCCTTGCCAGAAGGTTTCCTCAGTCAGGTAGTATCTTCCGCCATGAATGCAGCCGCACTGCTGGCGAGGCACACACTCGGTACCACTCAGCACGAAGCCAGGGTTGCAAAAACACCCTTCGACACACCCAGTCCGGCAACGAGAGGGCACAGCTGGGTGGGCGCAAGAAGCAGGGCAGGAAGGTCCACAGAGCTCATAGTGGCTGTTGGCAGGGCAGCGCAACTCTGAAACAAGCACAAATGAAAAGATATTGAGAATGCAAAAGTGCAGCTCCTTCAACACTATAGAGGAGACAGACTTCCGAGAAGGAGCTAAGCAGGTCAGTTGCCGCTTTCAGAGCTCCTCAAAAGTTGTAATTAAGTGGTGAATAATTGTGACAGAGTTATCTGTTGTTCTTATCTCCAGGGACAGAGATTTACTCCTAGATGCTTGCTGTCGAGGGAATAGAGAAATCCTATCAGAAAGATGCATGAACCAGGAGTAAGGAGAAATTACAGCATTCGCCCAAGCACTGCTTATGATAAAAAGGTAAAGGACCCCTGGCAGTTAAGTCCACTGGCAGACGACTCTGGGGTTGTGGAGCTCATCTCGCTTTACAGGCTGAGGGAACCAGCATTTGTCCACAGACAGCTTTCCGGGTTATGTGGCTAGCATGGCTAAGCCGCTTCTGGTGCAATGGAACACCGAACCAGAGCAGCGCATGGAAACACCATTTACCTTCTCGCCATTTACCTATTTATCTACTTGCACATTTATTTACTTGCTTTCGAACTGCTAGGTTGGCAGGAGCTGGGACTGAATAACGGGAGCTCACCCCATCGTGGGGATTCAAATCGCCAACCTTCTGATCGCCAAACCCAAGAGGCTCAGTGGTTTAGACCACAGCACCACCCGCGTCCCTACTGCTTATGATACTGGAGATTAATCTCCAGGGAAAAGGCCAGCTGTACCTCCTATCTTTAATTACCTTTGAAACTATTATAAACCACTAAAGTAATTAAAGAAACTATTCAGCTATCAGTAAATATGTCAAAACCGTGGAGGCGTTGATTGCAATGGGCATCTGGCAGATGTAACTTTTTAAAAAAAATTTAAAAAAGGATTGCAGAGCAGACCTCAGTGGTGAACTTTGTTTTGGTGCTGTGGTTTTAGCAGGCAGTGATGCTGTTTCTCAGTCCCAACCTCACCCCCCTACCCACCCCCTTATAGGACTGTTGTAAGGATGAGTGAGAAAATGTGTTCAAAATTCTCTGAATACACTAAAGCAGTGATTCTCAAACTTTTTTTTTCTCCCTCTGTAAACCAGTTGAAAAAATTGTTGGGGGTCCCCGTGGATCACTTAATAAGCTTTTCTTTCTCGTTCTAGAAATCATAGCATAACTGCTCTAAAACACTGTGACCAGTATTGCTATTGCAGTTCACATGCCAGTCGTCAATCCCTTACCACACCCAGTGATCTCCCTCCAGGGCTGAATGGTGGCTCCGTGAATTTGGCACTGCTGGGCGTATGTGCCCAGGACCTCACACAAATTGCTGCCATTCGTGACACACATGTCCTTCACGCAGCTCTCAAAGTGGACCCGAGCCATATCGTGGTCACTGCAGAGTCTAAATGGCCCATCTGGATTGCAAATGATTCCGCAGGAGCTCACAGAGGAGTACCGGTCTAGCAGGTCTTCGTCACAGTGTGGTGGAAACCCAACAACTGTGCAGTGGAAAGGTGAGCTGGCCTCCTTCCAGCTATTGCTAAAAGCAACAGCATCCGAGAGCACAGTGCCATCAGGGCTTTTGAAGTCGTCGCTCCGGTTCCCATTGAAGTCTCCACTGAGTCCACAGAGCAGTCCAGAATAGGACTTGGGGACAGAAAACGACACATAGTAGGACCAGTCATAAGAGACAAAGAGGCCAAAATCGGTCTGGATGATGGCAGAGAAGCCACTATAGTAGCCATAGATCTTCCCGTTTCCAAAGTCGAAAGGCAGCTGGAGGAGGATGCCGTTCAGCTAAATGGAAAGAAAGGCAGGGAGACGTCTTTCTCAAACCATTACGGCTGCATTCACAGGGAATGACAGGCCCAAATACTTAAGCGGCCTTCATAACAGCCTTTCCCAACTTGGTGCCCTCCAGATGTTGATGGACTCCAGCTCCCATCATCCCTGGCCATGCTGACTGAGGCTGATGGGAGTTGGAGTTCAGCAACACGGTCCAGCCACAAGTTCACCCATCACAAGTTCTGGGTGGGGCATGTGGTTTCAGACCACTTCATGGTATTTATAAAATGGGAGAAGTATGGAGCTACGTAGAGGAGAGGCAAAACAAAATGTTGTTTAACAATACCATAGCACACAGGAGAAACACAACTCGGCCTAGATGGTTAAAGGCCATAGCTTCTCCATCTATACATACTTCACATGCAGAAGGTTCCAGTTCAACCCTATGGCATCTCTGAGTATGGTTGGCCTCCTGGAGAGCATCTGCTTGTCACTAAAGACCATCCTTCCCAACTCTGATGATCGTCAATCTTTTCAGAAGCCTTCCACCATCCATTACTTTTTTGGTAATGGCAGTAGCTCAGTGTTAGAAGATGCAGAGGAACCCAGGTTCCACCCCCGCCATCTCCACCTAGGGCAGGTAGGGACTCCATACCTGAAACCCTGGAGAGCCACTGCCAATCAGCATGCACGATACTGAGCCAGGTGGAACTGACTCATTAAAAGCAGCTTCAAATGTTCCCAGAAGGGAATAGCTCTTTGCAGCTCAGTCCTTTTTCTCCCATTTCCCAAACAAGTATAGTAGAGGCGCGTGTGATTTGTCTATCAAGGCACTTTTTAAGCTGGTGCAGCATACATTTCTCAAGCCGAATTGTTGTTGGATGTTGCCAAGCCTACTTTAATGAGCAAACCACTTTATTGATTTCAATAATAATAAAAAATTACTGATGTGGTTTTCTCTACCCACATTTTTGTCAGATAGATTATGCCGCATATTAGTGGTTGGACCACAGAGTGCTCTTGGGGGAATACTGAATAGCAACCACTGCAACCAATTTAACCCAGAGTTACATTCCTTCCATCACTTAACAAAAGGGTGCAGCACACTCACTTTACATATTAAGCAAGCCAGCAAGTTATTGCGGACTGAAAAAGCCATAGAGGAAGCCCTCACACTGGAAGCCCAAGGCACATCCCAATAGAGAACTCTTGAACTATGAGCTCCACATTACAGCCATACCTTGGAAGTCAAACAGAATCTGTTCTAGAAGTCCGTTCGACTTCCAAAACATTTGAAAACCAATGTGTGGCTTCTGATTGGCTTCAGGAAGCTCCTACAGCCAATCGGAAGCCGCGGAAGCACCGTCGGACACTCAGCTTCCAAAAATAGTTCGCAAACCGAAACACTCACTTCCAAGTTTGCATTCGGGAGCCAGAACATTCGAGAACTAAGCTGTTTGAAAACCAAGGTACAACTGTATTTTCTCTCTGTCCTGATTAATAAGCAAGTAAACGTTTCAGCTGTGGATGTAATACCTTCTGAAGGTTTTACCATTGCACCATTTCTCACTGGCCAAACCTTGGCATCTTCAGAATTTGCTGGTTCAGTACTTCCTAACAAAGCTACAATAAAAAGCTACTTCCAGATGCTCCCCCCCCCAAAAAAAATATATTTATGGGTACTCTCATTTTCCTACTCATATTGAAATACTGCCCTTCAATGAGGCCAAACTTAGATTCACAAAATGTTTAGGGCTATGCGAACCCCTGCGTCCCCCCAGAAGAAAAGCACTGGCTAGATCCAAAGTAAGACTAGTAAGCAAGATATTGTACCAGCCAAATAAGCGCCACCAGCTTAAATTGAAATATGAATTCAAAAGTATAGGTGACAACCATTTGTAGCAAAGGGTGTTTCATATGCAGGAGGAGACTTTCAGGTGTGCATCGCCTGCTGATTCAGGAACCACACTTGCAGGAGACCCAGGACGGACACCAGCCCTCGGACGGCACAATATTTGCATAGAAAGGAAGTGGCTAATTCAGAAAGATGCTGTAGGTGTAGCGCTGAAAATAACATCTTTTTTTAAATAGCTGGTTTTATTTATATGTTGTAAAAAAAAGTAGGTTAAATGACTTTTACTTATAATCTTAATGTGCATTTTGTTTTCTGTAAACTGCTTATAAGAATCCAGGCAGTGAAAATCCAGAGGGAAAAGTTGTTGAGTTTTTTGTTTTGTGCCAAACTTGTTGACTTTTTTTCTTTTTTCTTTTTTTGGGGGGGCAAAATCACAAAAAGGACTCTTTTGATCTACTTTTAAGGAAAATCACTGAAAACGACACTACCGACATGGCTTGCCATACGTCCAGAATTTCCTGGACATTTTACCACCTGGACACTGCTGTCGAATGCAGTATTCAGGATGTACCTGGGAAGTTCCGGATGAATTGCAACCCTACGATAGTATACAAATCCCATCAGATAAATAAAACACACAATTAAGAACATGCATCCCATTGAGTGTGACCACAGGGATCCAGCTCTGCGTCTGCATTCAGCCCGTGTTCCTCCTCCTCTGCCAAGCCTGCTCAAGTGTTGGTGCATCCAACCATTGAGATCCTTCTCTGCCATGCAACAGAAAATAACGCCAGGTGGAACAAGACAAGGAAAGAATATGGACAAGGTCCTTACCTGCACTTTGCCGTACTGACCAGCCGCTATGGCAATGTGCTCCCCATAGACGTCTATCTCCACCAGACGTGCCCATGTTGCGGCCAAGGAGCCCCGGTGTTCGTTCTCCACTTTTATGGCGAAGTAAGGGAGGGCTCCCTGGGGGGCACAGTACTTGCTCAGCATGTATTTGCACGTTCCCTCGTAGTCAAATGCGACCCCATCAAAAGTGACGTAATGGGGGTCCCCAAACATCCAGGAGTTGCCAAAGGTCGCCGGGTAACAGCCCAGCACGCCGCTCACAACTTTGCACGTTTCCAGAGCCCCACAAGCATGCTTCTGGCACTCCATGGGGTGGGAAGGACGCCTACAGGAGCATTTCTGGCTGCAGGTATCTGTCAGGATCACGTCATCTCCCACCTGGTAATACCGGCCGTTCAGAGTGCAGCCGCAATGGTCCAGGGGCACACAAGCTCCTCCGCTAAGAATGTAGCCTCTGTTGCAAAAGCAGCCCTCCCTGCAAGTAGGGGACAGGGAAGAAATTCAATTCAGTTCACATTTAGAGGCAGGAGTGTCAGGTTGGCACCGCAACCCTGGGAGCCCAGAGCCGTGAGTGCCATGTAGCATGCATGGCCCTGGCACCGAAATTTGTGGGTGCCCAGCCCCTTCATGGGGAATTTTGTGGGTGCTCAGGCACCCATATCTAGAGCGAGTCCACCTAATTCAAACTATCCAAACCAAAATTCCTGCGAATTTTGCACTGCAGTTTTCCAGCCAATAATGTGTACAGAAATGCATATGCTTCTTTATGATTTCCAATTTTATACATTTCAGTAATTTTACAATCATTTTAACATTGCAAAGCATGACTTCTTTCCCCCTCTTTCTGTGATTCCTTAATTTATTTTTAATATTTTCTGCATATCCAAATTAACTTAATTTGCTCACTTATTCATCTACTTTAAGTGTATACTCTTATAAAACTGCAGGTTATTACAATAATTCTGGCAATGGTCTTATCTGTTTACAGTTTGCCTGTAAATATTCAATAAACCATTTCCATTCTTTTATAAAAAGTTTGTTATCTTGATTTCTTATTTTTCCGGTAAGTTTTGACATTTCTGCATATTCCATAAGTTTTTGTATCCATTCTTCTTTTGCTGGGACTTCTTCTTCTTTCCATTTTTGGGCATATGCTTAGGTAAAGTGTGTATAAAAATGCATATATTTGTGAAAAGGTACAAAAATGCATGTTATTAGGGGGAACTGCTTTGCAAAATTCTGTCTATTAGGGGAAATTGCACACAAATATGTGTCTATTGGGAGAAATTTGCAATAAATGCTGATGGATTCTCTTGAGGACTTAAAAAAATGCAAACTAAGAATGTAGAGTATGTGATTGGAAAACTGAAAAACCGAAACTGATGGATTTGCCTGTCCTTACCTGCAAGGCTCGTTGCAATAAAGTGGGGCTGTGGAATCCAAGCAGCTGGCTGGGCAGGCAGTAGAGCAAGGCTCATAATGGCTGTTCTCTGGACAAGTTATTCCTGATGGAGAAAGGATGTATGAAGAGGGGTAGAGGAAATCAGTGATGGGCCAAGACATTTTGCTGCCTGGAGAGGAGTGCAAACATACACACTCTGCTACACCCAACTTGTGCTGCACCATTCATAAAGTTGTGCTGCACCATTCAAACACCAATTTATGCCTTTACCAACTCTCTCTAAGCTAAAGAAGGTCACTTCACCCTGCTGAATAGTATGGCTGGGCTTAAAAGAAAATTAGGTTCCTAAATCATGCAAACAGTACCTGAGGTGATACCAGGGTTTCCCAAACTTTGGTCACCAGCTGCTTTTGAACTCCAGCTCCCATCATCCCTAGCTAGCAGGACCAGCGGTCAGAGATGATGAGAATTGTAGTCCAAAATGAGCTGGAGGCTCAAATTTAGGAAACCCTGGACTAGACAGACACACACACGCCTGTTCACCTGAGGAAACCATGGGCTGCCTTCTTCTGGCCCTTTCTCATAAGATAGCAATGGGAAACCTACAGCCTCCCAGATGTTGTTGAACCCAAAGTCCCTCCAGCCCCTAGAGAGGCTGCATTTAGCTGCTAGGTCTCAGGTTCCCTACCCCACCAGGCCGTCCTCACAACAAGCCTGGGCTGGAAAACAGGGGCTCATAGGTAGGTGATTGTCGCCACCATTATTATTGTTGACTCACGACAAAATGCATCCGAACTCCACTGCCCAACTGTGGCATTTGCTGCTTGACAACGTCCAGCATAAATATGGAGAAATTCACACAGTACCATCCGATTGCCCCCAGATGTGCAAAGATCATACGTGCAGCTTTCCATAAAGCTGGAGAGAGGCAGAGCCTTTGCACAGTTTGCAAAAGGACCTGGAGATTCCTTCAGGATGCCACAGTACTCTGGGCTGGAAAAAAGAGCCAATTCGGTTGAAGGGCAGCTTGGCAACCCTTGGGTGTCCCCACACTGGTCCTCCGCATAGTGCACCTGCCAGCTTTTAGCAAACAGAGCTGCCGATGCCGCGAGGGATCTGTTTGGAGTCGAGAAATCATCAGCGGGGTTTTCATTCAGGGTTCCACAGAGGCCACAGGTGGTATTATGGTAGCTGGCAGGAACAGCAACCTCTACATGTTGACTCCCCTTGTAGGAAATTTCCACCCCCAAATCGGTGGCTATCATAGTTGAGAATCCACTCTGATGCACTCGGATCTTGCCACCAAGGAGGGTCACAGGAAGAAGGCTCTTGATTCCATTGATCTAGAAGGGTGTTCAGCAGAATAAAGCAGAGTTAAAAGCCATAGCTTAGCTCTTGCCTAGACTGTACTTAAGAAAGTGATGCTGGCCCCACACGATAACAGTTCTAGATAGATCTGAGATCTATCCAGACAGACACCTGAGATCTGAACTCAGGGAATTATGGACGCTATTATGTTCCTGTATCTGTTCCAGTAATCAGCTGCAAAGAAAGCAGGATTATAGCTCAGTGTGAAGGACTCATAGGCTAGTTCAGGGGTAGAGAATCTGTTTTGCCTGCAGAAAGTCACACAGGTTCAAATCTTTGGCATCTCCATGTTAAAAGAATTAGGTAGCAGGTGATTTGAAGACCCCCCCTGCCTGAGATCCTGCAGAACTACAGCCACTACTATCAGTCTGGCCTTTCCCATTGTGAAAGGACCATAGCTTAGTGGTAGACCATCTGCTTTGCATGCAGAAGGTCACAAGTTCAATCCCTGGCATCTCCAGGTACCTGGAGAGCTGCCGCCAGCTAGGGTGGACCAGAGGTGTGGAACCATCAGGCTGCAGACCAAAGGAGAGAAGGGAAAATATTTCCTCACCACTGCAGGAACCATTTCCTCCCCAACCCTATTTCCTTGTGTGTTATGTCTTTAAAACTGAGGGCAAGGACTGCCTTACTACTGGTTCTTGTATGCCACTAGGGGTGTCTTTTCAGCTAGTGAAGGGGTGAAGAAAACTGGCCCTCCATGGTCAATGTTCTGAGATGATGGGAGCTGCACCCTTGAGTGAAAGTGGTGTGGGGAGAGGGGAGGCTGCAAAGAGATTCCCCACCCTTGAGTGAAAGTGGTGTGGGGAGAGGGGAGGCTGCAAAGAGAGAAAGGAAAACAGTAAATAAGGGAAGAAGAGCAGAGGGAACTCTGGAGGATTTATCTTGGCTGTTGAGTTCAAAGCACTTACCATGACATGCCCAACAGAGTTGGCTATTACAGTAATGTCCTGTCCGTAGACCATCATGTGCAAGTGCTCTATTTGTGACACTTCTGGAGTTTCCCCTGAAATTCCTGTTTCCACCCGATAATACTCCAGGCTTTGGTTGTGTGAGGGTGCACACATCTGAGACAGCACATAAACACAGTTGCCTTGGAACTGGTACAGTCGGCCATCAAAGGTGGTGTAGTGCCGTCCACCCAAGACGTGGCAGGTGGCCTTATGGGTGGGCCGGCACACATGGTACCAGGAATTTGGCTGGCAAATCTCATCTGCAGAGCACCCGCTGGCCTGGCATGTCACCCTGGGATCTTCAGACGTGCACTGGCACTTCTCCTCGCAAGCTGATTCAGTCCAGAAGGTGGCACTGACTGGCAGGAAATTAGCTATCAAGACAGAATGCAAGTCATAAGCAACTTAAGTGACCAGAAGGGCTCGTGCCAATAGCTTGTGTGAGAGCTTTCTGGTTTCATTATATTCACATTACAAACGCAACTGAAGCAATAGCCATCGCAAACCTCACAGGTGAGGTTAAAACAGCACATAGAATCATAGAGTTGGAATAGACCACAAGGGCCATCGAGTCCAACCCCCTGCCAAGCAGGAAACACCATCAGAGCACTCCTGACATATGGTTGTCAAGCCTTTGCTTAAAGACCTCCATATTAGATGCTAAAATTTAACAGCAGTAAGATATCCATACAGAAATCTGCCTTATACAAGGTCCACCTAGACAAGGCTCTCCAAGACATTTCCCCCTTCATCTGGCCACTTCACTGAAGATGTGAAGCATCAGCTGTACTGCCGAGTGATGGCCCTTCCCTTATGGCAGAGGTGGGGAACCTCCAAACCACAGGTCAAACTAGGTCTGCTCATTTGGCTCCCAAGGCAGTTGGGGGCAAGTCTAGGCACACCCATCTGTCCTACACCTGATGCCATACAGTGGTACCTCAGATTACAGACACTTCAAGTTACAGATGCTTCAGGCTACAGACTCTGCTAACCCAGAAATAGTAGCTCGGGTTAAGAACTTTGCTTCAGGATGAGAACATAAATCACGTGCTGGTGGCGCGGCAGCAGCGGGAGGCCCCATTAGCTAAAGTGGTTCCTCAGGTTAAGAACAGTTTCAGGTTCTGCCAATCAGTTGATTGGTGACACCTACAAAGCCCTGGTCATCAGCTGACTGTCAATGTGGGCATAAATGGGTCACCCAACATTCTGACATTGGGGGATTGATAGCTGGGCAGGATCATCCATGGCAGAGAGATAAGGATCTGGCCCATTATCTGGATCCAGTTCCCCTACCCTAGGTCTTACTCGGTTGTCATGCTGCTGTCTGCTTGGCTACCAACAGGTGGTGTTGCAAATCACAGCACAGGGCACATTTCTGAGAGCTGTGGGGCCATCATAGCAGTGTTGGAGTGCAAGGACAAGGGATGCAGAGGAGGGAGACAGAGGTAGGTGGGCAGGTCACGAAATAGGATTAGGCAACTCCCCAGCTACCATCCTGCCTGCCACCACCTGCCATTTCCCTCTTCCTTGCCCTCCGCTGCTGATCTGAAACAGCATCCTTGGAGTGAAGCAGGCAGTATAAGTAGGAGGAGTGGGAGGAGGTCTAAGGAAGGTGGGTGAATTTGGGGAGGCCGGGGAGGACAGGGGTTGGTGGGTGTGGAACTGGTAGCAAAGCAGATGTTCCTTATGGCCCTTCCCAAGATTTTAGAAGAATTTGATCTGGATCCTCCATAGTTCTTCTTATATTCTTATTGAGTAGCGCTCAACGTACCTTTGTAAACACAGCCATTTGGCACTGCAAAGACATCCACCTCAAAGACCCAGCGCCCAGGGTCCATGATGTTACTTGTGGAGCTGACATTAATGATGCTTGGAGTCCAAGATCCAGGGATGTTGAAGTAGTTGTTAGCATCTCCATTGTTAAATCCAGCCTGGAAGAGAGAAATGGAACATGAGCAAAGGATGAGAGTTCTGCTCATGTGTCTCCAGAATACATGGTTTGCTAGGTAACACTTCACTTCCTCCTCCTGAACTGGATCAACCAGATCATCTACCTTCATCAACCTGGTGCCCTCTAGATGTTTTGAACAACTACTTCCTTTCAGCATGTAACCAGAGGTGGGACTTACCTGAGCAGGTGTGCCCTCCAAGCCGGTGTGAGCATCTCCACCACTTGCCTGCCCTGATATCCACTGGATGTCCTGATAGTTCAGTATAACGAAAGACAGTTTACCATTGGAGGTTAAAACAGCCTGGAATGTGTTCACCTATACAAAACAGGTGCCAAATGTGGGATATATCAGTCTCATATAACCAACATGCTTAGCTCTCATTAATGCATTAAGGGGTTAAGGTAAAGGTAGAGGGTCAAATGACCCCTGGACCATCAAAGGCAACTGCGGGGTGCGACACTCATCTTGCTTCAGACCAAGGGAGCTGGCATTTGTCCACAGACAGCTTTCTGGGTCATGTGGCCAGCATGACTAATCCGCTTCTGGCACAATGGAACACCATGACGGAAGCCATAGAGCACGGAAATGTCATTTACCTTCCCACCACAGTGGTACCTATTTATCTGCTTGCAGTGGTATGCTTTCGAACTGCTAGGCTCACCCTGTTCGCAGATTTGAACTGCCAACCTTCCGATCGGCATGCCCAAGAGGCTCAGTGGTTTAGACCACAGCACCACCCACGTCCCTGCTATTAAGGGGTTAAGATCACAGAGTAAGCAGTCCTGCCAGGCTTAGCTGGGACCCACACTGGAAGGAAAGGTTACCAAACTCTTTATTCTTTTTCTTTCACCATGTGAATCCTTTAAGTAAGGATGTCTAAGCTGAATGCTCCAAGCTTAGACCACATGGCTTTAGCAAGCCATCTTTGTGTTTCTATACAAATAATTTAGAAGTATTAACCACTTTTTGAAACTAAGTTGTGCTGCCTGTCTTTTCTAGCCGTTGTATGGAAAAGCGCATGAATCTGACCGTCAAAGAGTTTGTAAATAAACTATTTTTAACTTTTCAAATGTGTAGTCTCTTTTTATGCTAAGCGGGAAACTTAAAAAAAAACTTAGAAGGGGATATTTTAAATATCAAATGGCCTATATTTCCACACATTAGTTTAGTGCATGTTTTGTGATTTTAAATCTGCTGGGACTCTCTCACCAAAGGAACACTTGCCCCAAACCTGGATCTAGGAATCCAGGGAATTCACCTTTTATTCTCTAACCAAATTACTAAAAACCAACACCAAATGCATGATCAATGGGTAATATCAGCATCCTCTTCCCTACAGCAATTATACAATGACTGGTTGTCTCCCATATCCATATGCTTCACACTTTTTCCTGGATAATGTGGAATAGCATCAGCAACAAAACTCGGTTCCCAGAGCACAGTTTCTGTGAGGCCACAGCTCAGTGTTAGAGCTTGCGTTTTGCATGCAGAAGGTCCCAGGTTCAATCCCTGTTATATAAAGGTAGAATAATGCAACTGGAATGTAGATGGGTACAGCTTGCCTTTCAGTGGTCAGTTCCCTCTTCTGAAGTTCCCTAATTTACACATGTATAAGAGACAGGGGAGCCTCCATAGTGTAAATCAGGCATAGGCAAACTCCGGCCTTCCAGATGTTTGGGACTACAATTCCCATCATCCCTGACCACTGGTCCTGTTAGCTAGGGATGATGGGAATTGTAGTCCCGAACATCTGGAGGGCTGGAGTTTGCCTACGCCTGGCGTAAATCCACCTTCCTGGATTGTGAGGTATGTATTGTTTATAGCTTCTCTGACCACTTCCAGACAACCCGTTTATTGAACAGTTATCCTGGTTTGTTTGCAGGGAGGTTAGGCAATGTTGGCTAATCAATGAGCAGCCAGTCTCATTTGTTTGCGTGGATATAGGAGGATGTTGCATCAAAGTAACAGTTATCTCACACCCACACAGCCCACTGCATCGTCCAGTCACTTTCCTTATCACAAAAGGTCCACTATTCTGGGGAAGCAGATTTCTTGCACAAGACCTCCCCATCAACTACAGTTGCACAACCAGAGTTTTGCTGGTATGTGACTGAATCCCAAACCATAAGCAGCACATTCCGGAAGCACCCTAAGATTGATTAGGAATGGTTTGTCGTATGTACATGAGAAAAACAAACATGAATTTAAAAATCAAAAGCATTCATTGCATTTGCTTGGCCCTTAAGAGTGTACCATTGAATTCAGATGGACATTTTTTTAATGTGCACACGAGTGGGAGTGACATCTTCCTCCTTTATTCCACTGAATATTGTTTGCTTTTAGACTGCGGTTAACTGGAGCAGAAAGCAATGAGCCGTCTACTTACAGTTCCCTTGATTTTGTCAGCTGGTGGAACTATTACTCTGCTCTGTAATCTGGTCACGGTGTCCTAAGGCTTTAAAATTCTTAACCAGGCATTTAATCAGGATTTATTGCGACTTTTATGGCACATTAAATACATGCCAGGTTACAGTTAAACACAAGTAAATGGAGGACGTTAAGCAGGGCCCAGGTTGCAATGGGAGAAAACAGCTTTTTATTTTCACCAGATGAAGACGGTGTCCTCAATGAAACCATCCCTTCCCACCTTTCTTCTTGTAATATTTTTTCTGCTTTTTTCTTTTTTAAAAATAAACCTTATTATAGGCTGTAGCTGGGTGCTCTGGAGAGAGTATTACTGCAGAGTTCAAATCAGGTAAGGTTTGAGCAAGAATAGCCAATGTGGAGTCTTCCAGATGTTGTATGGCCAATGGTCAAGGATTATGGGAGTTGTAGTCTAGTAACATCTGGCAGGAGCCCCTTTGGTAACCCCTGGATTTGCAGCTGCTTGAACCAAAGTTTGAGATTTATTCATTGGTCATCTGAAGTTCACAGCAGATGGTGACACTAACGGTGTAAATGCAATCAATGTTCATCCATTTTGTTGCATCAATAGCAGCTGTAGGAAAGCCTGTACAGCCATTATATTTGCTTCATATTGGATCCATGGAAGTGACTAGTTTAGGGCCAAACTAGAAGGGATGTTAATTGTGGAAATGCAATCAACACACTTTTTTTGGTTCTGTAAGTAGCAGCTGCAGGGGAGACTAGGATGACCAGGTGCAAAAATGGGACAGGGCTCCTGCAGCTTTGATAGTTATGTCAAAAACTGGATTTCAGCAGGTGCATTTGCTGAAATTCCCTTGGACTCAACTATTAAAGGTGTAGGAGCCCTGTCCTTGCCTGCATCTGGCAGCCCTAGGGAAGACCAAGCAGGGGCATGAGTAATTCTCTCTCCCTCCCTTCTGTGGTCCTGGCAAATATCACAACACTGGACATGTTATTTGCATTTCCAGCAAACTCTCAATTGGCACCACTAGCACATTCCCTTGAAATGCAAATAGCAGTTACAAATAGAATTTGGCAGGGAGAGAAAGAGTTAAATTTCTCCTTCTCCAGTCCCCTTGGTCCAGAAGTCTGCCCCACAGCTGCTATTTGCATGCCAGTGAACTGTACTCAGGCAGCCAGTGTTGTCATGTATGCAGCTGTTTCTGGTGTGTGAGTGAAATGCCGTCATGAAGAAATTATCAAAGAATCGTACCTTGGAGGACAGGGATCCATAGAAAGCCACTTGGTCCCAAGTGGCTATGAAGGCCCAGGTAGCCGTGAACTTTTCACTCGGGAAGTAAGTGTTGATGTCATCTGTGACTCTCTGCAGGAGCTGCTTTTCTTGGCTCTGCCTGTAGTAGACCTCGCCGGTGATGCGGTTATCGACATCAGCCCAAAAGGGAGCAACAAAGGCCCGTCCATCCGTCAAGGGGAAAGGATCAGGAGTGAACTGGCTGACTGGCTTACCAAATGACACCACTCCATTATTGTTCACCTGGTGGGGGGGGGGCAAAAGGTCCAATCCGTAATCTTAACATAAAATCCCAAAACATTCTAACTGGATCCACATTTGCACCCAAGATTCACAGACAGAAAGACTGGGGGAGGCTATTTTGCTGAATATTGTTTAGGGGAGAAGGGGAATTCTCCAATTGTTCAGGAGCAGCTTGAAAAATGAGCATTCTAAAACCTGTCAGAAAATTATTTTCTGGGAAATTTCAGGTCAGCCTCAGAAGTCCTGAGAATAAAATGACAGTCTCTTTAAAAAACCAATGTACCTGGCATAATGCCCTAGCTTCTCTGTTAAATAGCAAGCTCCCTGTCCCATACCAAGCATCCTCCAAAGACACAGAGCAGAAAATTACTCGATACTTCTAATATAGTTCCTCTTCAATACGGTTGCCATATTTCAAAAAGTAAAAACCCATTTTACAAAAATGCCAAAAGCTTTTTCCTAAGATCCAGAACAAAGCACCACTTTTCAGAAATCCCCCCCAGATGTCAATTCCACCTTTGAAATCCTGGTAATGTCCAGGAAAACCAAGACGTATAGCAGCCCTATATTCAACCTTTGGCTGATTAATATTCTCCAGTCTTTTACATGTGTCTGTGAGAAGGTGGGGTATATTTTTGCTGTTTGTTTTACTTACACTATTTACTTATTTTTATCCTATATTTTATTCTGTGAACCACCCTGAGATCTTATGATGAAGGGCAGTATATAAATCAAATTAATTAAGCAAAATAAAATAAAATGTAGTATACAAAAATAATGCAATATAATATAGTCCTCCACTCATACTCTCACTTTTCACTAAGAGTGATCAGGTGAAAAAGAAGACAGGGCCCCCACACTTTTGATAGTTGTATAACTGCTCTTCTGTAAGACTCTTAAAGGAGTCCTGGGTTGTTGCAAGGTGTCAGTGGCCCATCTGCCACTGTGTAGACCAGGGATGAGGAAGCTGAGCTCCTCCAGGTGCTGTTGGGTTCCAGACCCCATCAGCCCAAGCCAACTTGGTCAGGGATGATGGCAGTTGCAGCAGCGGCTGGATAGCCAATGTGATGCTATGCAAATGTGGCCAGACTACAGCCCCCATCACCCCCAGCCAACATGGCCAGTGGTCAGGGATGATGGGAGTTGCAGGTCACCAAGATCTGAAAAGCACGACATTGCCTACCCCTGCTCTGGGGTATCACAGGCTGGTTTTGCCTTCCAGACAGTTGGGGGGGATCTCCAGAGAGCTTTCTGCTGTAAATGGAAAGGGCTACAGAGGGTCGTGAGAGCCGTCAGGGTGATACTTACATAAAGAGACTGATACCTCCTGGCATAAAAGTAGAAGCTCTCAGAGATGGGGATCTGAGGAGATGCCCCGTCATCTGCCTTTGGGGTGGTTCTGTCCTGGTGTTTGGGTCCATAAGGGTAGAGCAGTTTGTCTGAAGTGAATCGGGAAAGAAATCGTGAGTAATAGTAGGGAGGAGTGTTGTGAATACTACCATGCAGCTTCCAGAAAGAAAATTGCAGTTTATTTTAATATTTCAGAACAGTGGCCATGGGGAAAAGAGGACAGGGAAGAACTCCCAGTTTCGGAGACTGGGAGAAGAAAGGAAAGCTGGGAGGGTCCACCACTTTCTGTGTGAGAGAAGGGTTGCTTAAGAGCTGTATTTGAGAGAGGACTCTGCATTTTCTTCTCCCCCCTCTCCCATTCCTGTTTTTATTAGATTAGTTTCTTTCATCTTGTTGTATTATGAAAAAGCTTTAATAAAATCTTGGGGAGGGTGGGGAGAGATCTCACAAAAGTATGACCACATCTTCAACTCAGTGCATATTAGTTGAGCCCAGTGCAAAGAAAATAAAACACTTCAATGTTAATTGAGGCCTGTTAATAGTTGCATAGAAAAGAGAGCCTGCCATGTGCCCAAGGGCTGAAGCAACTCTTTTATGATGTGCTAAAACAACTAGAATGTAAAGCAGTTAGAGGGCATCATGTTGGGGGAGGCTGTTTGATGGGCTTTGGAGTACTTGAATTCAACTTACCTGCCTCAGCTACTTCTCCCAACAATAGCACCTGCAGTGCTAGAATTAGAAGCAAGTTAGTCAATGGAATTAGCAAGAGCTCAGGCATCTGCTGAACATCTCTAGTGCTATCCCTTTAACTCCAGGCTGCACCCATTCATCTAGAGGTCATGCACCATGCCTGACCTGCATGCCCTATCTTTGATTCAAGAGTTGTGACATTACCAGGCCCTGTCTCAATGACATCAACACCTAGAGACATCATTAAACCCACTACTTGAGTCTCAGGCTTTGGGTTGCGAAAGATCTGATAGCTTCCTTTCCTACATACAGGGATGCTCTAAGATTTGAGCTTAGGACCTATCATGCGTTATGCTAGAATCATCCCCTTAGACCAGTGGTGGGGAACCTGCAGTCTGTGGCCCTAATTATGCCCATCAAGCCTCTACATTTGGGACAGGAGGTTGTTTTAGGCAAGTCATGCCCACCTGTCCTATACCTGACATATACAACATCAGGTTCGGGGCAGGTAAATATGTGGATGAACTGGAAGGGGGTTTGTAGGCACTGCCATACAGCTGATTGGCAACATCTGCAAAGCCCTGCACAAACCCTGTGCTTTGCAAGCCCCAACAATTAGCTGATCCCCAGGGCTTTCCAAGAACAAGTCACCTGATGGGTTACTTGCTGCTGGTCAGATACACTTCCCCCCATCTGCCTATGGCCAACAAGCCAAGGAAATCTCCATCGCTTGGTATTCATTGCTTCTGAACAGAGAAGCCTTATTCATGGCTGGTAGCACCTCTAAAAGCAGATAAAGTACCCCACAATGGCTAATACTGAGCTATAGTCACAGGCTTTTTGCATTGGCTCTCTGACCCTTTGGGTAGGCTTGGGGGGGCAGTTTTTTTGAAGAAGACATACTTACCCAGTGCTAGTTCTGTGAACAGTAGGAGGCGTGGTCTCATTATTCTTAGCCCCTCCTTCACTTTTTATAACATGAACTGGGTTGGTGACCTAATAATTAATAAGTTAATTTGGATTTTTGCTTTGTTCTTGTTTGTTCTTTAAAATAGTTCAATGGTGTACGTGTTTTTAAAATAGCAAACACCCCCCTTTAACCGAAACCCTGGGGTACACCTTGAAAATGTAGCATAAGAATGCACAGCCAGCAGTCTAAAGCATAGGATGTGGTTTAACATAGATCATCCAAAAGATATGGATGTGTCCAGAAGGTAAGGATTTTTTTTTTCTTATTCGTATCAATAAAATAGTACTAGCCAGTTACAAATGAGTCTTTGTGTTTCTGTCCTTTAGCTAATCACATTTTGTTGGTCAATTTCTCTGTTAGGGCCAGTTGCCAAACTCTCTCGAGTCAATTCAGTAAGGACGCCCCATTCTGGCGTTATATTGTAAAAGTTTCTTTGAATATATTAATTTAGACTGCAATCCTCTGGCCATTTTCCTAGGAGTAAGCGGAACTGAACACTGTGGGACTTAACTCTGAGTTGGACTGTGCATTATTTTATATGCTCAGGCTGCAATCTGAATCTTACTTGATTACTCATAGAAGTTTTACAGTGTGCCTACTCAGAGGTAAGTCCCATTGCACTCAATAGGGCTTCAAATCAGATATCAGTAATTATAGCAACAATTAAAGCAATAGGGACCTAAACTATGGTTGGCACAAACCAGAGTTGAGTGTGATTTCTTTTATTTAAAATATCGATATGCCCCTTTTTCCACCTGACTAGAAGCCTCCAAAATGCCTATTGTATTCTTTGCACAAAACCCTTTCTTTAGAATAAACTCTAGCAAACATCAGGCCTGAGGCAAAGCCCTCCAGAAACCTATGTCCCCAGCAATCTCAATCTCTACAGTTCTTGAACTGGACCTCTGTTATTGTTTTTTTCTAATCTCACCTTTCTGCAAGGAGCTCAGAGTAGTGTGTGTAGTTGCCCTTGCTTTATCCTCCCAGCAGCCCTGCAAGGAAGGTAAATCTAGGGGCCACCAGGTGAGTCTCATGAGTGAATGGGGAGCTGCCTCTAATGGTGCTTGCAGGTGGGGGCTTAGTACTGCAAGTTATTCAGCATTCATCCTGATTTGCTTGTCTGCAGTGGTCAGACTGTGTCCAGTTCATTGAGCATTATTGAGCTTGAGTTGTTTGTGGGTTGGTTATATGACAATGAGCATTCACCCTCATTTGTTTGTGGGGGTGTTTGCATGTTTTCCTGTTAATCAGCTGTCCACCCCACACATTTTTATCCATTTCCTCATTACTTTCCAAACAGCAAAAAGTCTGGGGGGTTTTGTTTTTAAAGTCTGTTTGTTGAGCTAGGGCAGGGGTCAGAAAACGTTTTCAGCAGGGGACCGGTCCAATGTCCCTCAGACCTTGTTGGGAGGTCAGACTATATTTTGAAAAAAATAAAAAGTGAACGAATTCCTATGCCCCACAAACAACCCAGAGCTGCATTTTAAATAAAAGCACACATTCTACTCATGTAAAAACACCAGGCAGTCCCAAAAATAACCCAGAGATGCATTTTAAATGAAAGGACACATTCTACTCATGTAAAAACATGCTGATTACCGGACCATCCGCAAGCCGGATTTAGAAGGCGATTGGGCCGGATCCGGCCCCCAGGCCTTAGTTTGCCTACCCATGAGCTAGGGCAACAGAGTGCTTTAATCTACCTTATAAGTACAAACCTAAACTTTCAGTAGGCGCTTGTATTCCTCCCATACAATACTAATAGTCTAGAGGCAATCTAGGTCATTCAAATATTGCCAATGAGTCATTCACAACCGTTTTAAAACTTAGCAGATATTCTGCGGGAAATGGAGATGTTGGCTGGCGTTCTGATGCCAATGATGTCATGTGGATGCTCTGAAAAACCTGCATCCATGAGGAGCCCTGATCAAACAATAAACACCCCTCTGGAGGCACCCTCCAGATCCAACACTCTAACCACTACACAACATTGCTCTGGTTAAAAACAGATAAAGCAGAAGACTTTGTATGACCATGTTTGTTTGTTTTTTGAAAGCAAGTTGGAGAATTCCCCCACCTTCTACCCCAAAAGTGAAACACTTACCAGCCTCCCATTCGTGTTTTCAGAGCAATCCTTCAGAACACTTGAGTCACACTGATCCCTGTGGCCCGTATGGTCTATAGCTCAGCGGGGGTTTTATACATGATCTCCCAGTAGGTGCAACTCGGAACAAATCCTGGACGCTTTAATAGGAATGAATAGATTCATTTGTCAACCCAACCTGTCTTGGGGTATTTAGACAGGGATATATTGTCCTATGGTCAGCTTCCCCTAATGCAACCAAGCCCAATTGCTGGCAGTCTCAGGGTATAAATATCAAACTGGGCAGATTTTTTTAAAAAAATAAAAAATAACACAATCCCAATGCCCTTGGCAAGGAGAAAGGGCAATACTGTAATACTGAATTGGGTTGGGAACTGGAGATAGGTAACAGTACCAAGAAACAAGTGCACAATTATTTTTGTCGCGAGAAAATGTTTTCAGCTTGAGGGCCAAATAATAATAATAATAATAATAATAATAATTTATACCCCACCCATCTGACTGGGTTTCCCCAGCCACTCAGGGCGACTCCCAACAGAATATTAAAAACACTATAAATCATCAAACATTAAAAACTTTCCTAAAGAGGGCTGCCTTTAGATGTCTTCTAAACGTCAGATAGTTGTTTATCTCCTTGACGTCTGATGGGAGGGCATTCCATAGGGCGGGTGCCACTACCGAGAAGGTCCTCTGCTTGGTCCCTTGTAACCTTACTTCTCGCAGTGAGGGAACCACCAGAAGGCCCTCGGAGCTGGACCTCAGTGCTTGGGTTGAATGATGGGGGTGGAGACACTCCATCAAGTATACTGGGCCGAGGACATTTAGGGCTTTAAAGGTCAGCACCAACACTTTGAATAGTGCTCAGAAACGTACTGGGAGCCAATGTAGGTCTTTCAGGACCGGTGTTATGTGGTCTCGGCAGCCACTCCCAGTCACCAGTCTAGCTGCCGCATTCTGTTCTGGACAATCTTTTGGGGGCCACACGCCGCTGGTGGGCAGGGTCAGAGGCAAAAGTGGGCGGAGCAACTAATCTGAATTTTCGCTTTGTACCTTTGTTGCTTTAGACTAGTTTCTGCTTACCTTCCTGGCAAGTCAGAAGTATTATTATTGCGCACAGGCAAGAGGCGAATAAGTTGGCAGGGAAGGTGAGGTCTGCCCTCAATTGTGTGCAGCAGAGGAGGATGCAGAAGAGGGGGGAGAAGGGAGGGATAGGGTGCCCCCTCTCAAATATTTTGCTCAAGTTGGTGCTGATGACAGGAAGATTGTCTCCCGTAGCTGGACTGGGTTGTGTGAGTGCTTGGCTGGGGTGGAAGTTTGGGGTGAGGTAACAGCCACTTAGAGGCTGGTGTCAGTAACACCATCACTTCAGAAACTGTTGCCAAACACATTTAAGCAACCACAATATAGGTATCATTATTCCTTTATGTGCATAATATCCCTTGAATAGCCCTACAATCTTTGCATGAAGTTCATCCTGTCTCTAGAGTTGCTGTCTCACTTAGCCTTCTATATCAGCTGTCAGGAGGTGGGTTAAAAAAAATAAATCTGAGTGAATTGACAGCAGCAGAAAATTAAAAGCTGCGCAAACACCTAAACATCTGTTTATACAAACGAGGCTGAGGCAACCCATGTCCCCAGCACTGTTTTCAATGTTGTTGTAATTTTAAATTGCCATAGCCCACCCTGGAAGCTTGTGGTGAAGAAAGGTAGGTAAGAAACAACAGTTTTAAACTATTTAAATTTAATGTTCAGATTTTGACTGGGGAAACCAGCAAATTTCAAACATATGTGAATGCAGGGTGTAGAACTCTTACTCAATGAGTGGTGTTGTTAAAAGGGAAGAAAAAAAGTTCTGGAGAGTTCCCTCCTGCTTAATATCTCATATTGCTGCTGAAAGGTGCAGAACTAAATTAAATATTGGAAAAATAAGAAGCCGAGAGATCTGAAATGGATAGATCCTTCCATTCCTAGCTTCAACTTGCACAGCATCCATGCAGAAATGGCCTTTGGATTTCTAAATCTGATGCTGGGTTTGACCCAGGGATTTTATAGCTGAACATCAAGTAGAGGTCAACAGTTGTAGTGTTTTTCCTGGCATGGAGACCAAGCTTCACCTGCTTAATTTCTGAAGTTGGAATGAAGTTCAATCACAAGTGGAATGCTGGGG